TCCACCGCTCAGCAGGCTGTGAGCTCGTCCTCAGCTTAGACTCACCCTGGTGTCAGCGCACTGGCTAGGGCATGAATCCTGTTCACCTGTCGTGGGCGGGAGCAGCTCTGCTTTTCTACATGTTATAGCTTGGTTGGTAGTGTGGCCCTTTAAGGCCAGCGAGCTCCATGGCTCCTCCAGGATCTTGGCCTTTCCCTCTGGCAGGCTGCCCCAGACTTGGCTCAGGAAAGAAATGTCAACAAGTAAAGGCCTTTTCACAAAAGTGAGTGTGTAATAAAACACGTATCCAGTTCAAACATCAGTGCTATTGTGCGCATAGATGAGGTCTTCCTGAGGTGGACTGGAGAATGCAGCTAGCATGGTGCCCGCCTCCTACTTCAGGGTTGCTGGGAGAAGAAACATTAGTCTCTAGCTTTCTGATGGGAGCACTGGGTCCCGTTCGTCCCACACTGTGGGCCTCTCGTGCTGGTGCCCTGAAAGCCTTGGGAAATTATTTGTGGAGAAAGAAAGAACGAGAGGAATTTTGGGTAATGGCAAAGTGGCCATCTAGATCTGCAAAAATTCTGGCATGGGTGGTTTTATAGCTGATTGGAAAAACATGTTTTTTCCAAGTTAACTTAATCTTTTCTGTAGCATCTTGAGCCTTTTGTGTTCCTAGGGGCTTGCGGACATAACTATTCCTGGGTGGTCACCCTGGTGATAGAAGGGGCAAAGAACCCACTCTTGCCAGCATGTCTCCAGGTCCACCCGGGACCATGTTAATAGTCTTCCTGACTGGGGCATGGATGGGTGTGGGGGTTAGCAGAATGAGAGTCTTTGGGGCCTAGACAGGAAAAGGAAACCGACGATCCTGGAGCGCTTAGAGCTGAGGACTCCCAGCTCCCGTCCTCAGTGCAGTGCCCAGGCCCTGCTGCTCTTTGGCAGTTAGAGTTTATTTTGTTTTGAGACAGGGTTTCTCTTTGTAGCCCTGGCTATACTGGAACTTGCTCTGTAGACCAGACTGGCCTCTGACTCAGAGATCCACTGCCTGCCTCTGCCTTCAAAGTGCTCGAATTAAAGGCGTTTGCTCCCACACCTGGCGTGGCAGTTCTTTCCAAAGATATCTCAGTCAGAGGTCCCTGCTCTGCTTTGAGATTCTCTGGTGGTGAGGATTCTTGGGGACAGACGATTGGCTGACCCACTCTTGCACCCCAGCTCCTCTGGCCCAGACCCTGGAAACACAAAGACTTGAGGCTTGCATCTAACTGGCCTCAGTGCTTGGGCCGCAGTTCTCTTGGCTGCTGGGGTGTTATATATGAGTTTGGGGTAATGGTGCCCTGTACCTCCTGTTTCAGGATATAATGTAGGACATGGAGCTTGTCCATGGACAAAAGGCAATCCTGCCAATAGAGTCCTATGATTTTGTGGTTCCCTACCCCTTCTTTCTTGAAACCCCAGAAGAGACTTGGCAGGGAAGGAAGGGCATTTTGGATCCCTGAGCATGGTCCTGGGGGATGGCCCTCCCTTCTCTGGCTGTGAGTTTGAGCCACAGGACTACGGACGTGTTGGCCCCTTGCTGTGTGTGGCCAGCTGCCTCTGTCTCCTAGGAGCTGCTCCAGTGCTGGATTAGTTACTTTTCTGCTTGCTGTTGTGTATAAGCTGATAAAACCAAGTGAGGGTCACGGTTTGAGGGGACAGTCGGTCGTGGTTAGTCATGGAGGCAGCTGGTCACCTGGCTCCCACACACCAGAAACAGATGAGTGTGGGTGCTCCCTCATTTTGCTTTCCCCTTTTTACTCTGTTTAGGATCCCAGCAAATGGGATGGTGCCACCTTTCTAGAAACACCCTCAGAGGCATATGGAGGTGTTTCCAGTCAAACTGACGGTGAAAATGAACCACCACATAGGTCTTGTCCTGCTCACACAGGCTGTGTGTGAGTGACAGGTGTGCACTGAGGGATCCCAGTCACAGGACATGTAGCCAGCCCTGCGCCATCGCTGGCTGCTCCTTACATTCATGATCCACACCAGGTGGTGAGCAGAGTGCTGGGTGAGTTTCCCAGTGTGGAGAAGTTAAGGGAAGTCTCTCCATTCTTGCCTTCCTAAAGGGAAGAATTCAGTTGAGAGCTGCAGACCATCTAAGGAGTGAGCCTGGAGTGGGCTGCTCTGCGGTCGGGCAGCACAGTGGGCTCTGTGTGGTGAGTCTGCGGATTAGAAAGGTTTATGAATATTTATTAGGTGGGTATCATATTCATGAGGTAAAGTGACTCTTTCCCCCTCTCAAATCAGGTGGACTGGGTCGCCCTTTTAGAGTATTTCTTCCCATGATCCTCCAGGAAAGCTCACAGGAGGTCAAACCCACAATGATACCAGGGTCATGAGGACGAGGACCTGTGGGCCAATGTCCGGGACCGCTCGTCTGCAGCTGCAAAGATGTTTAGCTACAGAGGGGCGTTCTGACCGCTGGCAGACACAGCTAACAAGGTGCAGCTGTGGTTCTCTTGGTTCACTCGTACCCAGCTCCTCTCTGAGGCTTCTCCAAGCCCGTGGTCATTGCTGTCTGTGGCAAGTCATTCCATTGTTTTTAGAAAGCAGCTCTATTGTGAATGCAGTAAATTGTGAGGTGGCATAAACAGGAGCAGATCTTGTGCTGCCCATGGGACCTTTTGCCCTAACGGAGGGCTCCACGACCGGCAAGACTGTGCTTTATGCAAACACCGAACAGTCCAGGTGCTTGAGAACCTGTGATGCGTGGTTCCAAAACAGGAATGGCAACTTAATGGACAGGGCCATAGAACTGCTGCTGAGACTGAACGTTCAAGATGGGAGTGGTAGTGCGCACCCATAATTTAGCAATGGAGAGATGGAGGTGGAAGGCCAGGTTCAAGACCAGCCTGTCTCAAAAGTGGGGGGGGGGATGCAGCACTGCCAGGTGACCCCTCTACCAAGGTGCAGAGGGATAAGCCAACCCAGAGCAGGGTTGCCTTTGACCTTCAGTCCAGCACCCTGGTGCAGACCTTAGCTGTTCTCTCTAAAGAGACATCTCAGTGGGGGACGGTGGCTGTCAGTGACGGCTCGTGGTGCGAGCATGGGGACAAGTTTGGAGCCTCAGCCCCTGGGTAAAGTGTTGGGTGTAGCTTCTGTGAGCCTAGCCCCAGAGAGGCAGAGGCAGGAGGATTCCTGGAGCTTGCTGGTGCTCGAGGCTCAGTGAGAGACCTGTCTCAGAACAACACGGTGGAGTGCTGACCACTTCTCTGTACCGATGGATACATTGTAATGTGCCCACACTTAAGGCTCTGGGGACGTTGTGGAAGAAGGGACAGAAAGACTTTAGAGCCAAAAGATGAGGGAATTTTCTGTGAGACTGTTTCGTATCAAAGTCTGACCAGCATGACTGACTGAACATGAACTGAGCAGACAGTGACCGTAGACATGCCAAAGTGATAGGGAAATCCATGAGGCCTCAACTCTATACAAAGAGCTACAAGCAACCAAGGAATGGTGAGAGCAAGAGAAACAGTCTTTTGCAGGAAGAACACACCAATGGACTATCTGATTCTAAATGGTTACCCCTGAAAACAGACATCCAGGTAGCATTTTAAACTGAAAGGGTTATATTTAAGAATGTATATGTATAAATGCATGTAACAACAATTAATGAAAAAAGGGGCCATGAATTTGAGATAGCAAGAAGGGGTATATGAGAGGGTTTGGAGGAGGAAAGGGAAGGGGCAAAATTATATAGTTAGATTATGATCTCAAAAATAAAAGTGGAGAAAATATTACTGATTTTTATTAAGAATTTTTGGGATGCAAAAAATTCAGTTCTCTGAATTTTTAGGACACGTGACTGAATGATATTTTCTTTGCACTGTGAAGTCCATGTGACTAATTCTGGCCAATGCATTATGAATAAAAGTGAAATATATACCATCCTAAAAACTGGAGAGCCATAGAGGGACACCTGCCTTAGTTTATTTTCTTTTGCTGGGATAAACCCCATGACTAAGAACAACTTGGAGAAGAATGGGTTTGTTTCACCTTACAGCTTACAGCACATCACAAAGGGAAGTCAGGACAGGAGCTCAAGGCTGGGAAGAACCAGGAGGCCGCAGCTGACGCAGAGGCAATAGAGAAGTGCTGCCTACTGGCTGTTCACCATGGCTTGCCCAGCCTGCTTTCTCGTAGCACCCAGAACCACCCACAGAGGGCTAGACCCTCCCATATCAATGAAGAAAATGTACCATAGTCTTGCTGATAGGCGGGGACCTATCAGTTGAGGTTCCCTCTTTCCAAATGACTCTAGCTTGTGTAAAGTTGACATAAAACTAACCAGCACAATACCCAACATCAACACACACACACACACACACACACAGAGAGAGAGAGAGAGAGAGAGAGAGAGAGAGAGAGAGAGAGAGGATTCCCAGATTTTCTGTGGAAAAGAACAGTTCCAGTACTGGATGACAATTGTATCCAAAGAGAAAAAGATTAGGGGTTGCTAAGGAAACAGTTTGCATAGTTTGGCATAAATGAATTTCTGGTGAGATGAATAAGAGTTCATTCTTCCAGATGGCAGACAGGAAGGGGTGCTTGTTCCTGGGTAAAGTGAGTCAGAGAGATGAGAGAAGCAGAAGGAACAGGGCCTCCAGGACTCTCTCTCTTTTTACTGGGAACCTACACCCTACTTTTTGAGACAGGGTTATATGCACAGGTTGGCCCCAGACTCACCATGTAGCTGCTGGTCTTCCATCCCGAGTGCTGGAGTTACTGGTCTGTGTCACCATGTTCATGTTGCCTGGGATCAAACCTAGGTATTAGTGTGTGTGGAACCCTTTCTAATTGACTCACTCAGTCCTGTGTCAAAAGGCAAACAGAGGGCTCTGATCTGACGAGGTGGAAGCGACAGGCAGCTATGCATGGGAAGGGATAAACAATGTCTCCAGAGCTGACAGTTAGGCCTGCTGATGGCAGAGCCATATCCTCACCCTGATTTCTTCTATGGGGCTCTTTACAAATTGAGGTATAGGCTAGGTGTGGGCACATATCTGTGATCTCTGCACTAGGGACGTTGAAGCAGGAGGATTACTACAAATTTGTGGTCAGCCTAGGCTGTATAGTAAGAACCTGTCTCAAAAACCTGATCTGTAACTCATGTGGCATAAATCACACCACTGTGAAGCATACAGTTCACGGGTTTCCATGTGTGCGCAGGCTGGGCTGTGGCCACCACTGTGTAACTGAGGTTCCTTCACACTGTCGAAAGGAACCCTGCGTTTTCTGCCATCCCAAACCTCCCACCACCGCCTCAGTCACTATGACTGCTCACCTCTGCATCTCCATCCTGTACATGGAATCAGAGTAGGTGGTGTCTTATGTCTGACTGCTTTCTCTGGGCTCCGTGCCACATTTGTGATGATCCGAACTGAACGTGGGTCAGTTCTAGGTTCTTGGTGGCTGAATGCTATTCTACGTGTGAGTATACTAAGTGGACATTTGCTTGTTGCAGTGTTTTGGGAACAGAATTGTTGACTCCTAATGAGGTGGTGGGAGTTCCCCAGGTAGGCCTGGCTTTAGGAAAGGATATAGGCAGATGTTAGTAAGAGTAGAATTTGATAAATCTCAGTAAGTAAAGAAAAGGAGAAAGAAGTCAGTAGCTCTTTTATGCAGCATGCAGGGAGGTAGGGCGTATTTATGAGGGAGTCTCTTTTCCCTTTGTGTGTGTTCACATTTGTATATATGATATGACACCTGTGCTGTCATGGTGCATGCATGGGGCTCAGAAGACATCCTCAGGTGTCGGTCCCCTGTGCTACTTGTGGCCCAAGAGCTCTGGAGCTTCACAGTCCTAAGAAAGCTCGGCCCAGCATTCCTGGGTTCTGGGGACTTTAATCTAGACCCTCATGCCAGGGCATATGCATTACTCAGGGGGCCTTCCCTGCAGCACCTCCGTCTTTGGATTTCCTTTGGCTTGTCTAGCTCTTGTGGACTTTGCAGGATTGTCGTTTCTGATTTTCTTTCTCATACTTCACTTAGCTGCCTTCTCTTGTATTAGTGGAGGGGTGTTTTTTGTTCTTTGTTTTTCTGAAGCAGGGTGTCACATTGCAGCCCTGACTGGCCTGGAGCTTGCTGTGTGGTCAGGCTGGCCTTGAACTCACGGCACTTCACCTGCGCCTGTCTCCAAGTGCTGGGACTAGTGCCAGCGCCATCATGCCTGGCTACTGGAATCATTCATGACCATTTTCTCCTGTAGCCTCTTTTGGCAATTTTGGTCTCAGGTAGTTCAGGCTAGCCACAGACTTGATAAGTAGCAGAGGAAGGCTGTCATCCTCCTGCCTCTACTCCAATCTCTATTGGCTTTTCTCTTATCTCCTAAACTGGTAGTTCTCAACTGTGGGTTGTGGCGCCTTTGGGAGTCCAATGATCCTTTCATAAGGGTCACATTTCAGATATTCTATATATCAGGCATTTACGTAACAGTAGCAAAATTACAGTTATGAAGTAGGAATTAAATTTTTTTTCAGGACTGGAGAGATGGCTCAGCGATTAAGATTGCTCTTCCAGAGGATCTGAGTTCAATTCCCAGTACCTACATAACAGCTCACAGCTGTCTGTAACTCTAGCACCCATCACCCTCACACAGGCATACAGGCAAAACACCAATGAAATAGAAATAAATTTTTAAAAAGAGCTGGAGAGATGGCTCAGTGGTTAAGAAGCTGGCTGTTCTTGCAAAGTACCCAGGTTCAATTCCCAGCACCCACATGGCAGCTTGCAGCTCCAGTTCCAGAGACTCTGACATCCTAGCACAGACACACAAGCAGGCAAAGCACCAGTGCACATGAAAATAAATAAAGATCCTTAAAGAATTTTTTAAGTTCTTAAGGTTTAAGAATTTTTAAATTTTTAAGGTGCTGGGAAATGAACTCAGGACCTGTGGAAGAGCAGTGAGTGCTCTTAACCGCTGAGCCGTCTCTCCAGCCCCATGAAAATAATGTTATGATGGAGTCAGCACAGCATGAGGAACTGTGTTAAAGGTTCGCAGCATAGGAAGGTTGAGGACCACGGCCTTCCCCTTTCGGTCTCCCAGCAGCTGGCCTCACAGACCCCTACCAGCAGACTGACCTGGCGTTTTCTTTAGTGTTTGCTCTTCGGATCACAACAGCAAACATGCCGACTCATGGTGGGTCCCACAGCTCATGTGGAACTGCTCTGAGAATCAGGAATAAAAAACTGGGATGTTCTGATGTGTGAGTGACCCGTGAGAACATGACGCTTAGTCACGGCAGCCATCGCAACGGCCACCTCTTGCTTGTTCCTTTTGTGGGAATGTCCTGAACAGAGGACTCTGTGGAAGTAGTTGGCCACTGGTGTCCTCTCACAGGGAAGGGGGAATGGCAGAGGTACTGATTAAGAGTCAGTCACAGACTCCTTTTTAAAAGGAAACTGTTTAAATTCCATCCATCTCTACAGTGTGTCCTGGTCACACCGTCTCCCATTCTCTCAGCTCCCCCACAGCACATCTCCCACCTCTTAACTTTAGGTCTCTTACTAAATCCAGTTAGTGCTACCCATATGCACATGTACACAGGGCCATACACAGGGCCAGAAGGGGCTACCAGTGCCCCCTCCTTAAAGAAGAGTGGCATGTCCCCCAGAAGCCATCAGCTGCCATTGGCTCCTCAGATAGGAGTTAGGTAGTAGGAGCCTTCCTTACTCCATGTTGGAAACTTTAACGTCTTTGATCTTTTGTGGGTCTCTGCAGGTGATCACAGAGGCTGTGAGTTCATGTATGTAACAGCCATGTCGTGTCCAGAAGATGGCATTTCACAGCACCCTCCCTGTGCTCCAGCACTTGTGTCCTGAGATGGTCCCTGAGCCTCCTGGGGCTGCAGAGTCAGGCAGCAGGGAATGTTCTATGAGTAAATAAAGCACCATTGAATTCTACACTTTAACTGTGTGCTTGTGGTGTATGTGTGTTCTGTGTGTACACTTATACGTGCCCCTCTGCGTGTGTATGGATCAGAGGATGACTTTGGGTGCCAGTTCCCACCTTCCACCGTGTGTTTGATCAGGCCTCCGTCTCCTGCTGCTGTTTCTGTGGATGTCCCTGTCTCTTCCCCTTCCCTCTCACCACAGGGACACCTACATTTCAGTGTGCTGCCATGCCCCTGTTATGTGGGGTGGGGTCTGAACGCTGGCCCTCATGCTTGAGCAGATGGGACTTCATCCTCTGAGCATTGCCCTGGCCTCATTTCTGTATTTTAAGCATGAATTGAGGCCAGCAGTATGATGTCAGTGGCCTATAAATTTGCTTCGTATTTAGGATCCTTTGTCTTCACCGTGAAAACTATTCTTAGAGGATGAAGAGATGGCTCAGCAGTTAAAAGCACTGACTGTTCTTTTGGAGGTTCTGAGTTCAATTCCCAGCACACACGTGGAAGTTCACAACCATCTATAACTATAGCCCCATGGGATCCAATGTCCTCTTCTGGTGTGCAGACATATATGCAGACAAACACTCATATACATAAATAAAATCTTATAAATACATAAACAAAACTATCTTAGCATCCCTCCCACCAAGTGCTCTGGGGTAGTGCATTTCCTCAAGTTGGTCTAATGTTTTATTTTGCTTGCCCCACCCTTTTTGAGACGTAGGCTCATTTCTGTATCCCACACTGGCCTCACTAGCTCATTGCGAAGCTGAGGGTGACCTTGAACTTCTGGCCCTCTCGCCTCTACCCTCCCTGCACTGGGATTACAGTCATGAGTTTACACCTGAATTTGTTTTTTTTGTTTGTTTGTTTTTTTATTTTTCTAGACAGGGTTTCTCTGTGTAACAGCCCTGGCTGTCCTGGAACTAGCTTGTAGACCAGGCTGGTCTTGAACTCACAGAGATCTCCCTAGTGCTGGGATTAAAGGCTGCCACCCGCCACCACCACCACCCGGCCTGAGTTTACTTCTGGTTTATGCCAACCTAAGGTTGGACTCAGGGCTTCATGAATGCTAGGTAAGCATTTTACCAACTGAATTACATCATCCCTCCTCCCTTTTAAAATTATCTGTCTGTGTTTGGGTTTGTGCACATACATGGAAATGCCCATAGAGACCAGAAGAGGGTGTTGGATCCCTGGAACTTGAGTTTCTGACATCTGTGTTCAGTGTTGGTGCTGGGAGCTCAACTCAGGTCCTCTGGAGCAGCAGCAGTGTGCTTTCTGTTGGAAACGAATATTCTTGGTGTTAAACCAAGAGGCACATGAACAGCTAGACAGTGGTGGCACACACCTTTAATCCCAGCCCTTGGGAGAGAGAGGCAGACAGATCTGTGAGCTTGAGGCTAGCTTGGTCTACAAAGCAAGTGCCAGGACAGTCAGGACAGCATAGGGAAACCCTGTCTTGAACCCCCACCCATCCCATTCCCCCAAAAAAGAAAGAAAGAAAATACACTAACAAAGTAAAAGTAACCAGACAGGACAATTGGTTTTTGCAAACAAAACAAAACAAAAACAGGTTAGTGAGCAAGCACCCACTCTGGGGTGGCGAAGTTAAGTTCAGCTAGTTTTTATTCTGATGCAGGCAGTGATTGTGCCTCTTCCCATTGGTGGCAGCTGCATCCCACAGTCTGACTTGATTGACTAGTTGGCACACATGGGAAGGATGTGACAGTCATAACAGTTTCAGGACGGGGAAGTTCATGGGCTGTTGGCGCTTGGCAAGATAGCCACCTTTGATAGAACAAACTCTTCCCATGTCCCCTGACTCTGATTTTCTCCTCTTCCCGTGTCCCCTGACTGCTGAGCTGAGGAGTTCTCTCCTCTTCCCGTGTCCCCTGAGCTGAGGAGTTCCCTCCTCTTCCCGTGTCTCCTGACTGTGAACTGAGGAGCTCTCTCCTCTTCCCACATCTCCTAACTGTGAACTGATTTCTCTCCACACTCCTCTTCCCGTGTCCCCTGACTGCTGAGCTGAGGAGTTCTCTCCTCTTCCTGTATCTTCTGGCTGCTGGGCCGAGCAGACCCAGGTCACAGAGGTCTCTGGTAGAACTTAGGACAAGATGCAGATACTCTGTCTGTCAGAACAATCCATGCCTCCCTCCTCCTTCTAGGGCACTGTTTTTCAGCCAATGGGTCACAACCCTTTTGGTGGGGGTGAAAGGACCCTTTCATAGGGGTCGCATATCAGATCTTTGCATTATGATTTCTAACAGTAACAAAATTACAGTTACAAAGTAGCAACAAAATAACTTTATGGTTGGGGGTCAGCACCACAAGGCTGAAAACCACTGCTCTAGGGCCCAGCAAGACTGGCTTCACCTCCCTCGGCTCCGGAGACATTTTCCCAGACACCCGTTGTGCACCATGGTTGGTTGAGTTTGTTACCGGCTCTCCTACCTTCTCTTTGTCCCATTTCTGGTGGAATGTACTTTATCCTTTGTTCCAGAATCTGGATCCTTCCCATTGCTGTGCAAGGGCTCAGCAGCAGAATGCTAGCCCTAGCCTGCCCAAAACCGTGTCAACTTTATTCTGCAGTTGAAAACGTAAGAAAAGAAGCCTGTTTCCCAAGAGAAACAAACAACAGAAAACTCTGCTGTCTAGTGACCCAAGCCCCACATGGTTATGTCACGTGTCCTTTGAAAAGGAACCTTCTGCCCGAGCCCTGGTAGCATCCTAGAAAAGGAAGCTCCCTAACCAGTCTCGAGGCCATGAACCCCCTCCAGGAAGTTCATACCTTCTGAGACCCCCAGGGTGACAGGGAAAACCTGTGCCAGGCAGCCTTGCATCCTCCTGGTCACTGCCATCCCAAGGCTCAGGCTTCGGAACCAGTTTCTGTGGGGTGAATGAAGCAACGTCTTGTGTGAGTGTGTGTGCTGGTGTGGATCTTCCTCCCGGAGGTGTGTGCCTTGGCCTGGCCACCATCCAGTGAAGTTGTAGAATGAATTCCATGGCCAGCCGGGAGTCCCTCAGCCCGGAGACACTGGGTTGGGGCTGGTCCTTTCCGCTTTTGGCAGCAAGTGCTGTTTTCCTCTTGGGTTCCTGGCATTCTGCACTGGTGGTCGCTTCCCAGCCAAGAACCTTGACCTCGTCCAGGAACTAGGATTGGGGTAGAAGGCGTAGAGCTTGACGTCTTTGGTGGCCTTGTGTTGACTTGGGCAAAATCTCAAACTGTAGGAAAAGAGAAGTCAAAAAAAAAAAAAAAAGGTTGTGTTGTGATACCTAGAAGGAAGGCCCTATCATTTCCCGGAAGTGGCTGGGGTCTCTTGGCCCCTGGCCCTGATTAAAAGGACAGTCCCTATCCATCACCATCTCCCCACTTCGTAAGCATAGTGGGCATGGGCTGTGGTCCCCTCATACCATGGGACAGTGTGTAGGCACCAAGCACTCAACCACCCACAGAAATGCTCCAACACTAAGCAAGTGTCTGCCAAGGGCTCCTTGCCAACGGGGAAGACCACAGTATCATACTCCGCCAAAGGAAGAGCTGAGGGTCAGCACCTGAGGCTGTGGGAGCAGAGAATATGCCAGAGCCAGTACGGGGGAGAGAAAACATAGGTCATTCTGGAATTGAATATTGGGGAATCCAGGCTGGAGAGTGCTGCTGACATTTGCTTGGTTCTAAAGCATCTGAAGGACTTCTCTGCTTACTTGAGGATGTTAAGCTGCTGAAGTATGGGCCTCATGGGCACAGACCCCGAGAGAACTTCACACAACCTCTGGAGATAATTTCCTTCAGTTAAGCTGGATTCCTTTCTTTCTTGATTGATTGAGACAGGGTCTCATTAGCCCAGGCTGTCCTTAAACTATGTAGCCAAGGGTGACCTGGGTTTCTGGTCTTTACCTGCTGAGTCTTCTCACTGGCTGTTTTTATTTTTAAATCACTGGTTCAATTTCTTTAGTAGTTCTGTCTGTTTAAATTGTTTATTTCATTTCTGGTCTTGGTTATTTGAGTCTTCTCTTATTAGTCAGTATGACTAAAAGTTTGTCTGTTTTGTGGATTTTGGTCATTTTCTATTTCATATCCCCTCTTATTTCTGCTCAAGTCTGAATTTACTTCTCCTAGCTATAGATTTGGCTTTCCTTTTCTGACAACTGAAGGTATCAAATTTAGTTGTTGACTTCAAGTCCTTTGTGTGTGCATATGTTGAGTGTGGGGGCCTAAGGTCAGCCTCAGGCATCCCTCCTCAGGTGCCAAACACCCTCCCTGCCTCCCTCCCTCCCTCCTCTCTCTCTCTCTCTCCATCCTCCCTCCCTCCCCCCTCCCCTCCAGTAGAGGGTCTGTCACCCAGCTCACTGACTAGCTGAGGCTGACTGGCCAGCTAGAGAGCCCCAGACACCTGCCTGTCTGTACTTCCCCAGTGCTGAGGCTACAAGCCTGTGCCACCATGCCTGGCTTTGGCTGGTTTTTACGTTGGTCCAGGGATCAGCTCAGGTCCTCTGCTGGTGTGGTCAGTGCTTTGCCCATGAGCCTCCTCCCCAGCCCCCTCTTCACCTTTCTTTCCCCCTCTGTGCCTCACATCAGCTATCCCGGCAGATTCTCCAGGGCAGCTGCTAACTCTTCTATCAAATCTTTCCATCTAGTTACTATAGTTTTTAATTCTAGACATTTTGTTGTTATTTTCCTTTTCCTGGTTGTGTGTAGTTTAACCTTGGTTTTCAGCTTATTGTGCACACAGGGACAGCATTTAAATGCCCTTGGAAGAAACTGAGAGGCTCTGTTTCTGGCAGGTCGGTTTCTGGGGCCCTGGCGTTCCTTTGTGGAGACAGCCACAAAGGAACAAATACTTCCTGGGCAGGAGTATTTGCATTCTTTGCACATGTCTTAAGCATAAAGAAGGACTTCCGTGGCTCAGCCTATTGGGCCCTTCAGACCTTTCCTCTAATTCTAGGTGTTCTCAGCATGAGAAGCTGGTGTCGCTGTGGCCTCCAGCCAGATATCCAAACTACATCAGCATTCAGAGCGCAGAGTAGGGTGAGGCAGGAACAGTCCCTAGCGGTCAGATGAGTGGGAGCACACAGTCCCCAGCGGTCAGATGAGTGGAAGCACACAGTCCCCAGCAGTCAGGTGAGTGG